AAGCGTTAGTTAATTATAAGGGTATAAGTGTTTCATTCCGAAACCTGTAAGTCTCCTATTCTTTCACTAAACCTTAGGGGTGTCCATGTAAAAAGCTTGTGGTGCATTTGTGCCTTGCATATGTATAAAAAGGGTAAATAACATTTTCGTATATGAGATTTGACGTAAAAGCCTTGGATCCAATAACATAATTTCGTATATGAGATTTGGCGTAAAAGCCTTGGATCCTCTAACATAATTTAGTTAAACACTTACATTATGTCTTATGAGAATAACATTTTCGTTCCTATGGTGTTGGTCTATTACATTAAAGACATTTGCTTCGAATACTAGTATTTTGATTTATTGACTTAATAAACAGTTGATTGGGAGATCATAATTAAGTGAGTACCCTTATACATTCATCAATCATTGGGTTGGCTTTTATATTTTCTATAATAATTTTTAAATTTTTTTTAGTTTATAAATTTATATTAGGGTTTTAATAAAAGGACCATGTTAACCTTCTTCTATTAACAAAAGTTGAACAATATTAGGTTAAAAGGGGTATTAACGATGAGATTTTAAAAATATTAGGTTACAATTGATTAAATTCACGAAACCTGGCAAACACCTGATAGCAAATTAAACAAGAGGGGTGATCAGTGAAGAAGATCTCCCCTAAACAAATGTATTGTTTCCAAGTACTAAAGCCAAACCTCGAGGACTAAAGGGTTATTTTTTGGTATAATGGGCCTTAGGCTTAAGCCTTAGCCCATTCATAAAATGAAAAATCAATGTATTTCTTTAGCCATCACTACATTGAAATTTGAAACCTTCTCAACTCCATTGTCCAATTAAAACCAAATGGTGGTTGGGGAGACAATTGACTTTATAATTTGGTCAAAATGAAAATAACCTCTATCAATTACATGTATTTAGGTTTCGAGGGGATTTCCCTTTTTAATATTATAGTTATCATGTCCATTAATATAAACTGTCAACATGGGCTACAAAATATTAGGGATATTTTATAATTAATTCTATAATATTTAGTAATTAATTCTATAATATTTTGTTTAAACGTAATTTAATATAGAAATATTTAGTTTTCCTTAGTTTAAGAGATTTGTTTCCAGATTTTATGTAGTCATTGTACCAATATATAAGGCCTCCACATTGGGGAAGAATATACAAGTGAATTATTCAAAAACCATTGTTTTACATAAATCATTATTGATTTGACATATATATATGAGATTTTTACGGGGCTTTTGATAATTTCAGAAAAAATCTGATACTTTAAAAAAAATCACTGAAGTGCTTAAGATTTAGCAATTTTTCAAGGGCATATAATATTAACCTTGGTCCTGGTCTATGTTCCATAGCACAAAGTTTAATTAAGAAATTTGACTAATTCAACATTCAGTCTTATTTTCTGCTCTTCTTCATTGATTTTCTCTCTCAAATTTGTAAGAATTTTCAGCATAACTACAAACTATTGACTTGACTAAATTGTAATTGGACTCAAGTGGAACTTATTGAACGGTCCATATAAAATAATAATAATAATAGCAACAATTTTAGGGTTGATTTCAGAAATTCAAGAATTCTTTTTTAAAATAATTCTGTGTGCCTACATTTTAATTAAATCTCATTGCAAGTCAACGAAATCTTTTCTTATATAATTACGGTTATCATCGTCATGTGTGTTTTTATAATGTTTTTAGCATTAATTAAAAGAAAATTTGGTGATGAAGCAATCCTTTAAAAAAAAAGAATTAATTTCTATTTTGAGTAAGTTGGTGATGTTGGTAACCTAAAAGAATGTTAAGGCTCCGATCAATGAATGTTAAGTCTACTAATCTTTTTATTATTATATTATTATTATTATTTTTGGTGAATGGGAGTGTCGAGGCCAGCTTGCGTGCACTTTGATTAATCTTTCAAAGCTCTGAAATTAATTACCAGGTAAACCTTCCAATGACCACCCTTATTAGCAATCGATGAGAATTAAACTCAAAACCTCTTGAGTAATACACTCAAAAGTTATTATCGCCCCACCCAGTCGCTTAGAAAATTTTTGTCATTTCGATCTCATTCTTTTAGAAGACATTTAATGTTTGATAAATTTGGATTCGATGGAAGACCTTTTCAAGATTGAATATTTTGCTTTGAATATTGTTGTTAGGAGAATATAAAATAACTTTGAAAATTCGTACTTTCTTTATTTATTTTGCAGTTTGGACTTTAAACTCAAGTTTATTATTATTTACTATGGTTGTTGTCATTTTTCTGTTTTTATATGTTTGTTGATTTTTTTTTTTATAATTTAGTTAACATTTAAGCAAATTAAATAAGTTAAATTCATGTTAAATAATACTTTAAACGTATCGTAAACAAGTTAAACGTATCATAAATACCTTAAATGAATAAAATCAATCACCCCCACATCCTTTGAGAAATGCAAGGTTTTCGAATAACTATTACAATTTAATCAAGTTACCTCCAACCCTTTCAGAAACTAATCAATTACCCAGTAAAATCCTAACACTACCTAAGCTCAGTTAAATATACGAGGGTAAAATGGTCTTTTTATTGTCTCCTTGTTTCCTTCTTCCTTTCCGTTTCTTCTCCTTCCCCCTCCCTTTTTCTTCCTCGGTTTCTTCTCCCACCATTTTCTCTCTTTCTCATTTTCAGACCTGCCACCGCTCATCCCCACCCACCGTTAATGAATTTGGTGTGCTATGGAGTTGGGTGGTGAGGGGTGGGGCAATTGGCTTAATTATTTGGCCAAGATGTTGACTACATGGCACTGCTTTTAATCTCCATCAAATACATATAATTTAGGTTTTAAGGGGATCCCCTATTTTAATATTAAAGTAATCGAATACATTAATATAAATCATTGTTGATTTGACTTAATTAAACTACATAGTCTAATTTAATCCAAAGATTATTCCAAATTGAATAACATCACCAAATCGATAACATAAATTAAGTCTGGTCTAAGTTTAATCAAGAAATTTGAGTAACTCAACATTTTGCATTATTTTCTCTTCTTCTTCTTTGAATTTCTCTCTCAAATATGTAACAATTTTCAATCATAAAGGCAAACTATTGACCTAACTAAATTGCAGTGGGACTCAAGTGGTATTGCATTGCCCATAGAAATTTAAATAAATAATAATAATAATAGCAACAATTTTTAGGGTTAATTTCAGAATTTAAAGAATTCCTTTTCATATTATTTGAAGTCAACGAAATATTTTCTTATATGATTATGGGTATCTTTTATAATGTGATTAGTGATGAAACAAATGTTAAAATAAAGAATAAATTTGTATTATGAATAAGTT